GGGCGAGAATGTAGTTGTTTAAAACTCAAATCTGCGGTTTATTTATAAAGATAGCACCTATTTGAAAATTTGCTTCGCCGATTTCGGAGACGTGAGATCCACGCGATTAGCGGGCGCTCAGTGCTCATGTTTCCCGACGAGAGCAGCCTAACCTTGGCTAGTCCTTCTGACATTTGTCGCTTGCTCTGATGTCTCTGTAGTAGTTAAACATGAGGTAACATTCGTTTTAGGTAGCCTATATCTAACAGGTAATCTTTGATCTTATCAATCTATTATTTCTTGCAGGTCATATCGTTTTGGCTGAGCACAAAGTTATGTTTCATAAATTATTTATTTATTAATCGTAATACAGTGCTGCCTTTGTTACATTTACATTTAGTCATTTAGCAGACGCTTTTATCCAAAGCGACTTACAAAGTAGAAGCAATCAGACCTGTCTCTGTAGTAGTTAAACATGAGGTAACATTCGTTTTAGGTAGCCTATATCTAACAGGTAATCTTTGATCTTATCAATCTATTATTTCTTGCAGGTCATATCGTTTTGGCTGAGCACAAAGTTATGTTTCATAAATTATTTATTTATTAATCGTAATACAGTGCTGAATTTGTTGCATACATTTGACTGAATTGTTTGCTTTTGTCTTTATTTCCTATTACATAAGTCTCTTATACTTTATACTTTTATAATGGCTATTATTGTTCATTAAAACTGACGTTTAACAAAAAAGGTAGAGTTGTGCTTGTCATTTAATTTTATGATAACAACTTGTTAAATAAGCTAGCAACATGCTAGTAAACTTGCTAATCATGCTAACCAAATGCTAACACCATGCTAAGGGTAATGCTAATCATGCTAGAAACATGCTAGCAACTTGGTAAACATGTTAGAAACATTTTAGCATCATGCTAGTAACATGCTAATCATGTTAGAATCATGCTAGCAACAAGTTATTAACTTGGTAATCATGTTAGCAACGTGCTAGTAACTTGCTAATCATGTTAACAACATGTTAGTAACTTGTTAATTATGCTAGAATCATGCTAACAACATGCTAGAAACTTGCTAATCATGCTAGAAACAAGCTAGCAAATTGTTAAACATGCTAGAAACATGCTAGCATCATGCTAGTAACAAGCTAATAATGTTAAAATCATGCTAGCAACATGCTAGTAACTTGTTAATCATGTTGACAAAATGCTAGTAACTTGCTAATCATGTTAACAGCATGCTAGTAACATGCTAATCATGCTAGAAACATGCTAGTAACTTGCTAA